TTCAACAGGCTTTAGTTGACAGTGGCCATGCCTTCTCAATATTACTAATGTTATTATTATGATTATCATCATCATTTTCTTTGGGTATCAACGGCATCGACTACTTTGCTAGCCTCGTGTTCTGGGTAGGCAATATTAATAACTTCCTAACTCGCCCTAGAGAGCATCATGACTATTCACAGAATCATCTCAACTTCATCAATTAGATAAATTATATCGAGAAAAATATCTGTTTAAAGTAAGAATCGAACTCATGACCTTTCGATCGTGTCATGCGCACTACCATTGCGTCAATTGACAGTTTATTGTAATTATCACCATATTATCTCCATTATCATCATTATTTTTTTCCACATAAGCATGCGCTGGTCAGGCCCTATCCCCCGAAGCCCTGATACATTCGGGAGGGCGCGCCAACATTATCAACCAACGACAACTCCCCACACCGTGGGGTAAGTGATCATTGGGTCTGAGAATCATGTGCCCTGAGCAAGCGCAATGATCCAAGAATGACAGCCTTCTGCATCTGTCCGGCTGAGATTTCTGCTTTAGTACGGCAATCCGATATGATTTTAAGATTCGAGAGTAGAGAGGGCATCATTCCACCAAGGACTCCAATAACCAGAACAACCATGTTGACAGAGTGATCTGGATAGAGTCTGCGTTTTTCCTCCTCATTTCTGACGATATTCGTCTCGCCAGGAGCTGAAAACTCCACGACAAATATAGTTTTGCTCTGGTGGTCGAAATGGGCTACATCAGGCTTATTACATTGTATGAGCCTGAGGGGGGGAACGAATAGTTCCAATAAATTCGGCACCTCTCGTTCCCCACAACGGATTCAATATCGCCCATAGCGTAGGGAAACACCGATGTCTCGTCAATACCATAACAGTGCCGTATATGGTAATATAGCACTCTTAGGGCTGCGTTATGTCGATGGATATGGGCCGAGACCGCATATGTTGGACATTATGATAGCCAGTGCATTAGGGTCTCGGGCGCCTTACGGCAGGCCCTGCACCTTGTGTCGGGTACCTCTGTATCCATCACGCGACTGCGGTAGACTAAGGTGTTGAAGACACCATCCTGGCAAGCCATGATGAAGTTTCCGACTTCACCCCACTCGACCTGAGAAAAGCGAATGTCAGGCGCTTTGATAAGCCAAGGTCTCCAATGTAATTGAAGAGCCCATGCATTGGCTTATCCTTGTGTTTCCGCAGAAGTGAGGTGATCTCAGCGGCTTTTATCTGAGCTTTTTGCTGACCGGGTTCCAACTTGCTGACAAAGTTGTGGTCACCTCGTTCAGTGTCGAAAACTGAACCAAGTTCATCAGCTGCTCGGGCAGCTGCCCTAAAGAGAAATACTCCAATTCCTGCTCTCTCATGGTCACGGACCATGCAGAGAAGGGGATCCGAACCCCTGACGACTTTACAGGCCATATCCAGTACCATTCTGTTATGTAGACACTCCAACCTCAAAAGTCCATGGCCTCCCCGATATTGGGGGTAGTACAACCGTGGAACGGACGATTTGGGATACAAACTCCTATAGAGATGCATCATTTTTCGGGTCTTTACGTCGAGTTGATACAGCTCCTCCCGAGTTCACTTCACTACTCCAAACGAGTAGAGTATGATTGGAACGGCAAGCATATTTGTTGCAGCAACTTTGTTCTTCCCCGACAGTTCCGATGACCAGATCTGTCGAAGTTTGTGCTGATACTTGCCGCGGAGAGAGTTCTTCACTGCTGTTACCTCTTGTGGGTGGTAAGTATACGTATCTCCGGCATCCAAATAGTGTAGGATGCTTCCATCTACGAGCTGCATATTCTCCACAACACGTGGAGGCTCTTGGAATAAGCAAGAAGGTTTCTGGCGGAATCTAATATTTTCCGCGATACTTCTCGCTCGCCTCACTAGTGACTTCTTAGCAGCCACTAGCATTTGTATCCTATCAAGGCAGTGCTGTTTGGTAGTCAGCAGCACGCCTTGACTTAAAGTGTGATGGGTACGTCGTAGTTTGGCAGCTATTCGCCGCACTGCGGGCGTGAAAGGCCTGTTGGCCGCCCTGTAATCCATCACAGATTGGATACGAGACGCGTGTTGTCCCGCCGACGTGATCTTAGCCTCCATCTTATGTACACGCCGTTCAATCTTCCGAATCGCAAGGCCGGTTTCGTCTTTCCGATTCGAAAAGCGATTGGACGGCGCTATACACGGCGGTTTGATTTGCCAGATGTCAGCCTATTCTGTTAGAACACTGTGAACCTCCGCATCCATACAAGCCAGTTCTTGTGGCTTCAAGGGCCTAATTCTGTGGAGCGCCCTGCGTGTTCTGATTGACACCAACGGTGGCATGATGCGAGTCTCCTCTCCAGCCACGCCAACGGGTGATAAAACTGTCACTTCCACCATTTCGTTAGCAGGCTGGGAAGGACCTATCCTGTTTAAAAAAAAATCTGTTTTTCCGTTAATCAGCTGTCGCCGAAGATACGATACGTAATTCCTGAGATTCTGGGCGGAAAAGGCAGCATGCTCCGGATGTGTTTCACACCAGAGTATGTAATCTCGCCATGTACCCTCTTCGCGCGGGCTCACTACTCTCGTAGCAATGCATAAGACTATCTCTTAGCTCATGCGTGCACTCAAAGCTGCCGTTGTCATTGCCAGGGTTGTCATCGGTAGGCAATCATCGTTATGGGCTCCACCACCTTGCCTCTGACCCCTTCGAGCGAGTCGATTGTGAGGGCCCCTTCCTTGATTACCAGGAACCAAGTGTTGGATCCACCGGGTGGTTAGCCCTGTGGATCCACGGCCGGCACCGGAGGGAGAATAATGTTCTCCTTCCCGGGTGCGCCTGGGCTGCCTTTCCGGTTTTGCGCCAGTTGCTTGGGTAAGTGGCTTATTTATCATTATTATCATTTTTTATTATTATTGTTTGTAATATTACGATTACAATTCACACCTATAACCCTAAAATGACATGAGGATGAATTCACAATTTTAAATGAGATTTCCTCAATATTCAGGAACTTACACTTATAACTTGTGTAACAGTTATAAGTGGGAATTATGGAAAAATAGTAGGCATTATCGATTTTTGTGGCCATTCTACGTTTTCGTATAGATTCTTTGGTTTTGCGCTTAATTATTTCGTTGAGAAATATATTAATTCGTGAAGAGGAAAAAAATAAGTAGAATAAATAACATTATCCATTTTTTATTCTTAGGTACATATAATATGCACATCGATTTATGTGCTGCCAGCCACTGTAAATGAATCAGTTACAGATTACAATATATGGAAGTTCTTCCACAGTGAAAATATATAGTTCATCGTCCAGATACGACATCTGTTGGAAACATTGGAACAAAGGCAGATGGTAAAACAAGAAGTCTTCAGTTGTTTTTTCACAAAGTTTTGTGGTTCTTGAACCACCCGTTAGCGAAAGTAATTTATTTCAATAATACGCTATAATAATAATCGTATTCAAAAACATATATAACTCTCACAAAATCCCAATTAAACAATAAACGTAACCTATACTTCACATTTAGGTACTCCGATCGGCTGTTTATCGTTTGACTTGACTAGCGCCATTATCGGTAGAAACAGGGCTTATGAACTCTGGGTGGAAATTATTTTCCATCAGGAAGATCATCACCCAGATACATCTACCGGACATATTGAAACTAAGCCAGATGATAAAACAGAAACAAAGTGGTTTATTGTGCTTCCCGTGAGTGAAATTCATCAGTTCCTTTATAGTCATGAGGGACTGATGGAAACATTACTCTCAGGAATTCACAATTGAATAACTCAAAACAGAAAAAACCCAAAACATAATCTATGTTTGATATTCAGTTTTTCAATCAACTGTTAGCTGTCATCATTTCCAGTTGTAAAATATAAACATGACTTATGTGGTCCCCTTAGACAAGTGGTCACGGTCATAGCAGTTACCAAAGTGTTGCCAACTAGTAGAACTATAAAGTCACTACACATGAATCAAAATTCCGCCACACTGCTTCATATTCCGCTACGCTTGTATATCTGACGCAATCAGTACGCTCATGCGCCCTATCCAAAATTGAATACCACAGAACTTACAGTTTGTAGTTTGTGTACCGTTCAGATACCACCAAATTGCTGTCACTGATGTAAGTAATCAGGATCATGATAATTTTCAACCACGCAACTCAGTAGATGGTACCTAATTTTCTAAGTTTACAGCAGTTAATTTTTGGAAGTTGTCGTCTCGACCAAATATTTCTTAGCTTGAAAAAATTATTTTGAAAAGTAAAAATAAAAATCAATTTGTTCACGTACGTATAGTCACACTGAGCTCTTGAACGATCATTCGCGACAGGATTAATCCATCCTTTCAAGTTGGAATCAAACAAACAATGTTAATAAAACGTTTGTTTTCGAGACTTTTTGTATTTTTTTGAACATATTCCATTCCCGTCAATTCCAACTACGATAGCTCTTTCGCTCGAGTCATAATCTGATGAACTATCTTCTATTTCTACTGTAATTTGTTTCATATAAGTTATAATACTCGAGACAGTCGAGACTTTTAGTTTCAAGGTATTGGAGGTTATACGGTTTATGATATGAATTAAAATATTCAAAAATATTCTAGTCATTCTTCTTGTAATGGCCTCACTACTAAGACTATTACGTATTAGCTGTCAGCTTCGAGTGCTGACTGCGGATAGCCTTAGTTGCTGAGGCCATTGTATTGAAAAGAAGAAGAGTGCTGTCCACTGCCTCTTCTTCTTCCATATTTTTTTCAATATTGATTTTACACAATTCCGCTATTTTATGTTCAAATCCGCTATGCCGCTACCTGTCGAGTAAATTCCGCTACTGTAGCGGAATTCCGCTACGGTTGGCAACTCTGCAAAGTAGTTACTTTCACTATTATACTATTCTGGATCCACAGAACACATAATTATGTGTTGTATGTGTTTTTAATCACTGGATATGTATGCAACATACAATACTCAAAACCCATTTCACTTTCAAATTACTGTTTTTAATTAAAATTCTTGGGTGGGTATAGGCAAGGTGTACTATGAATGGAATGTTACTTCCCATATTTGCAGAAATAGAATGAGGCCTTTCAGCGGTAAATAATTTAAATTCGAAAAGATGTAAGCAGTTTCTGTGATATCTATCTTACAGTTAACATTTCCTTTTCCTTATTATTACAGGTTTCAGTTCTGGAATTCAGCATAATTAAAGTCAACTGAAAAGTAAGAAATGCCAGATTCAGTAGAGGAAAACTTACAGAGGGTTTTAAAGGGTTTGCCTTTGGATGCCGATGAAGCAGAAATATGTGATTTCACCTTAGAAGAACAGAATGAAGCACTGGAATCACAAGGAATACAACCCAGTGTGGACCCAAAATATAAACCAATTTTATGTGAAACAGTTATGTACATTGTAGCTTGTGTTATATTGAATGAGCATGATGAGGTTTTAATGATGCAAGAAGCAAAAAAGTCCTGTTCTGGCAAATGGTAAGAAACTTGAATGAATGTATTCACCAATGTATCAATGTATCTACACAGGGCAAGTCAAATTATAATAAATACCGAGTCCCTAAATACAACAAATATATCAACTATTGAAAAAACATTTATTTATGATACTCCTTTCTTTGCTTCATATTTGGGAACTTGCCATAAGCTTTATTTTCATCTGATTCAGAATATAATACTGATCAGTTGTTCTTGTTCAAATTGATTTGAATTATTTTTCTATATTTATTACTTTTGTGTCCCAAAAATTAATATTGGTTGTTGAAGTGTCATCTGATTCAGAATATAATACTGATCAGTTGTTCTTGTTCAAATTGATTTGAATTATTTTTCTATATTTATTACTTTTGTGTCCTAAAAATTAATATTGGTTGATGAAGTGATTTTTTTATAATTTTGTGAATCACTCTGAATAGTAATAAAAAATGATTACTAATTAGTTACCATTCATTTACACTTTACACTTAGCGCACGTCTCACGAACTTTGATGTAGCCTCCTCCAATATATTTATACTACCATTTCCCCAAGTCTTTAGATATCATTTAATCAAAGTTATTTTGATGCTATTGTTTTTGTATAAAGGTACACAGTTTCTACTGACTTGTTAGGTATTTCAGAAGCATTCCCTCGGAATTTCTGCCATTTTTAGCATATATTGAAGTATTATTGTTTTCTTGCTTTTTGTTATCAAATTATATACTTTATTTGATTGTACTTTACTATAATGATTGTATTTCAATCATTATAGTAAATTATAGTTTATTTCGCTTGTTTGTATACGAGCATCTGTTAGGTATATACGAGGGTTGTCTTTTATATTTCGGGATTAGAGAACAAAAACAAATATTAATCATCGAAAATCACTTTTCTTTTCAAAATATTCATTCGGTGGTAAGTCAGGACCATACGGCGGATGACTCATCAAATTGATGTTTTGGGTGCTCAAAAATGCAGTTGTTTGAGTTGATGTGTGAGAGCTTGCATTCTCGTCTTCGGTGGTTGGTTTTCCTGATTTCTTGGAAAACAAGTGACAAACAAATGGTTGTGTATCACTCAGAATTGACTGTTCTGCATTGTTCTAGTGGTACGGTTGCGAAATATCCAGTTTTTTTGAAAAAACAGGCGATCATTTGCTTGGAAGTGCTTCGTGCGTGAACAACTTTTGTTGGATTTGGCTCATCTTGAAACACACATACACTCGACTGCTGTTTACTTTCGGGCTCATACTAAATCCACGATTCATCACCTGTCACGATGCTATAGACATGTTTCGAAGCACCGCGATCGTATTTTTTGGGCATTTCCTTCAACCAATCGACACGAGCCTTTTTTTGAGCGATTGACAAATTGTGTGGTATCCAACTCAATCACATTTTTTTGACAGTCAAATGTTTATGCAATATTGAATGTATGCTGCTCCCACTGATGCCTCAATCTCACAATAGGTCACATGACGATCTTACACCAACTGATTTTGGACGACCTTCACGAAATTTGTCTTGGAGTGAACGACGACCAAAATTGAATTCAGCATACCATCGATAAACACTGGTCCTTCATGGAGCTTCATCGTCAAAAATTGAATTAAGTTCATCCATGCACTGTTGCTGAGTTAATTCACGTCAAAAGTTGTAAAAAATAATCGCACGAAAATTTTCACGATTTAATTCCATTTTTGGGCCGAGAGATGAATCTTTTAAGTTACTGTTAACAACACAAATAGCGCGCGTATGTCAAAACGTTCTGAAAATGTATAAGCTCAAAAAAGTCCAACTTTACGATAGAGCTGTCAGTTGCTAGATTGCAACACTAGGGTTGCCAAATCCAGAAACATAAAAGGCAACCCTCGTAGTTTATATTTTATAGTGCTTATCAGTCTCAGAACAAGTGTTAACTCACTTAGTGAGTATTTCATCCACATTTATATCTATTTATTTTAATATGTTCAAAAGGTATTTACCTGCTGGGCATATGGAAAAAGGAGAAAACATAACAACAGCATGTGAACGTGAAGTACTAGAAGAGACTGGTATGAAGATTGAGTGTACAACTTTACTGATGGTGGAAACAGCAAGAGGAAACTGGATGAGGTTTGTTCTGACTGGAAAAATAGTTGGAGGCAACTTGAAAACTCCAGCAGAAGCTGATAAGGAGTCACTACAAGCTAAATGGGTTAAGAACGTGAATGAATTAGATCTTCGAGCCAGTGATATTACTCACCTGATTGACAGAGCCAGGTAAGAATATATTTTATAATGAAAGTGGATCAAAAATAATCTACTACTTAGTGTAGTGATTCCTACTATAACTATAAGGATTGTACAAATACTATATTTTTTTCTCTTACCAGATTTTCATGCAGTTCAAATTTTTCAATCTCTATCTTCTTACCCATTTCTTCACTTGGACTTACCGACTACATTTCTCTGTCATTCATCATTGATATGTATGTGTTTCTTTTTGTACTGATATTCATGTATTGCAAAAGATAATTCAATATAGTTACTCAACAATTCTTTTTGACAGACTTTGACTTTCAACTTTTTGATCATTATAAAGTCAGACACTTTCACAGGAAAAATAAATTGATAGATAGATATAAAGATATTTGTGCTTCTAATCACGAAAATTTCACACTTGTCAAGAATGTGGTTGAATAGTAAAACACACCTAGTAACAAGTTATGATCAAATCATCTAAATGAAGATAATCAAATTCTATTCAATTTACAACCCAGATCAGCATCAAAAATGTCATTGATTGAGTCATAACTTTTCTGTATAAGTATATGTTTAATTTTTGTTTTGAATGTATCATAGGATAAACCATTCAGACGTGAACATAGCTCATTAGAAAATCCAGGTGCCTAATAATTTAGAGAATCAATTGTACATCCCTAAGAGATAGACATATACCATCACGGACTTTTTTGTACACGTTTTTACTACTATGTTATGCATGTTATATACACATAAACCATCCTCTTGAATCACTCCATCTATTAAAAAAACCGCATCAAAATCCGTTGAGTAGTTTTGAAGATCTAAGCATACATATGGACAGACATCGGAAAGCGACTTTGTTTTATACTATGTAGTGATTAGACCTTGACATCTGCTCGAAAACTAAGACCATTTATTATTCTAATAATTATTATCAGGTGATATTAGTTTTTGGAAAAAAAACTAATTATTGTTATAAACTCAGCAGTAAAAAAACGAGTTGCTTTATTCAATAAACATTGTGGAATCTGCTATGAGCTAATACATTTTGAAATGTATTCAAAACTAACTATTATCAGAAATTAGTTATTTGTCCCCATTTATGTTCCTAATTTAGAGTCTCCTGGTGAAAGAAAAAAATGTATCTACTTCTCAAATGGTAACACACTTTTAAGAACTTTTGTTACTTGACGTCAGTATTTTAATCTCGCTATTCTCTAAGTCTCGTTACTGATCTAAAGTCCCTAAAATGTGACCAAGAACTACATTCAAATAATGCATTCCACAAAGTGAGAGAAATGCAGTTGTAATTCCTTCATCAACTTTAATTTCTTCATCAACTGTTTTGGTATCCTGGCATGACTAGCTGTATGGATTGTAACCTAAGGACGATTCTGTCTGTTGTTCTAAACGTAGATTGGGTTACAGATTTGGTTGGTTTCATTAAAAATACTACTGCTTGTAATACATTGGGCTATCCTGATGAATTAGTGCAATGGCTTGATAGCGGGTTATTGAACATTCCTCCTGCCTTATGGGATGCATTATTGCAATGTGATCTCTAGACATGATTGGGCCCTAAAAAAGATTGGGTGCGAAGGTGGGAGCAATTAAGAGACGAGAAAGTGGAAAGTGTGCAGTTATTTTAATATTTTGGAAATATTTACTGAAATGTACTGAATAATATTTGATTTCCATCAAAATAACTGTATTAACAAAAAAAGAATCATCCAGATTTATTTTATGCAATAAACCATTAACAATTATATTATATATTAACATATATTATAATGTATGAAAGTGAATGATTTTCTTGTGGTTATACAAATAAAAATTTGAAAACTCAATGAATCAGAAACCATAATCTCAGAATGAATTTAAAATAAAAAATGAATTCATGTTGATCGTCTTTTCCCATCTTACATTATATTTTCGATTTTGCATTTTTGACAGTGAACAAAAGCATGCCTGGAAAATTTAACGGTTATTTGCGGTTTACTTTCTGATTTTCTCAAAAAACTTACTTTGTTTTTAGCACAAATGTAGGTGCCTGCACATCTTCCATTTTATAATCTGTCAAATTTTGTAGCTCCTCTGTCCAACCGCTCAATCCCATATCCATTCTGCTTGCAGCAATAATAGCAGCAGCCAATTTTGATGGGGGATAACATTGCATATAATGAACATCTAAAAAATCCACATATGGTTGAAATTGTTTTCACAAATTTAACAAGATTATATATTAGACTCGCTACTACAAAGAAAATTATTGTTTCAGTGTATGTTGTTTTCTGGAAATGATTCAGATGTTCCAGTTTGCAACTGTATTTGTAATTTTTTCCTTAAATATTCGGACTGAAGTTCAATCAATTGGATAAGGCTGGCCTAGTTGATTTTCATTTGTCAGGTCACAGATCTGAACTTATTACCATTGAGAGGTTTACAAAACTGTAACACGTGTTTTGCTATACAATAGCTGTATAAAAGCATCTTAGAAAACTATTGTATAGTGAAACACGTGTTGCGGTTTTGTAAACTGTCCAGTAAAAATCTCTCACAATAAAGTGTTACTTGAAAACACTATGGATTTTCATCAAGTACCAGCAAATTCTATCACAAATGAAACGTAAAGTTGGACAGGTTTTTGAATCATGAGGGCTGAATTCGTGTAGGATTTTGAACAATATGTATTTTAAGTTTTTGTTTGAAACTGTAAGTTGTTATTGACCCTCCGTGTTCTACTGTCTCTAACTGATAGAAGTGGAAAACTTATGATAGTAATCCGTGATACTTAAACAACACATTTACTTTGGTTTGTTATTATGGATTTTCCAGTTTGAAAAAAGTATGCCTTCTGATAAGACATATTCAATTGAGAAATATCTTTTGCATAACAAAATTGCGCTCTTTCGTTTTGGATCTGAAAATTGAACAATGGAAGAGTGAAAGAGTGAAAAAGCATAAGCAGATTGAGTATACTTACTCTCAATGATCTGATCTAAATAGTCAGTAATGCAGTCATGCAGGTTGAAAAAAAGGGTCCTGATATTTTTATTATCTTCTATGTCATCCAATGATATTACTGATTGCATGTAGTAATATATATAATGAGCAGCTGTCGGAAACATTATATACCAATGGAAGAACTGCAGCATAACTATTTCCAAATTCTTGTACTCCTTGATTGGATAACGGTTGTTAATGGCTGCATTGAGCTCAGAAATTTTTGGGATTGTCACATTGTTTTCCTCAAATTTTGCTTCATGAAAAAAGAAATAAGTGTTAGTTACAATCTGTCTCGCTTTTAGCAGTAGTACTACCGTTTTTTTCAAAATTTTGTTTATATATTTTAACCATCCCTCTGTGGTTTCAACTTAGATCACTACTATGATAAAATCGTAGTTGTGATCTAATAGGAAAATATTTTTTATAAGATTCAATTTCACATATAGTAAGGGGGCATACTTGAAGACTGGCTGTAAATCAAATTATCTAAAAGAACATTTCGTTTAGGCCAGTTTCAACTCACCTACGCTATATGTTAATGTACTAACACCTATCAGAAAACAACTAGTCTCCTGGCTAATACCACGAAGGGCGTTGGATTATATCCGACAGGTGTCAGTGCAGGATTCTTCAAAGAAGTAATTCCTGCATATGCTGTTGGTGATACAACTGCCGGAATCAATTTTTAATTATTAGAAGTTGATGATTTCCCATAATTAAAAGTCGAATTCCTTTCAGAGTGTTAAACCTTCAACTAGGCAAACGACAAACAACATATTTGTCATCGCCCCTTCTGCCTGTGAACGAGGTAATCATCCTCATATCTGAATCGCCCAATCCTCGTATAAGGAAAAATCTGTTGTTTTCTGATAGGTATAAACACCTACAGTGTAGACTGGCCTGAGCGAATTGTTCTTTTAGATAATTTCATTCAATATCAGTTAGTTCGAAATTGTGTTAAATTTTTTTTTTAAATCTATATAGATAAATATTTGTTAAATCAGACTTATCTTGAATTGAAAATATGATGCCTTTTGAAAATGAAATTTTCCATTAGAACTAACTAGCATTTTTGTTCTCGAATGAATTCTACTAATGTTGTAAATGCGACAGTTTGGATGTTTATTACTCAATCACACAAAAAAGTTCAAAGGATTTGGATTCTGTTTGGCACAACTTTATATCATGAATTAACATATGGATACATTTCATCCTGATAAGTGATGTCTTAATGAATGTTATCAATTCGTAATCATACTTGCTGAGCCGCCTCCCTAGGTACCAGCCCAAATTTCATATATCCTAACCGGATCTGGTTTCTTAGAAAATTTCAGAGCAACGGGGTGTCAGTCAATATAAAAAGTATAGATTTTGTATGTTCACTATAGGTGTACGAATTTTGTATTTGTTCAATATACCAATGTGTTATTTGAGTGTTTATGAAATTATTTTACATGTTTTCCACTGTTTCGCTTTAGAAAAGAAGGCTAACTAACACCTTTCAGGTCGTAACTGCAAATTAAACAGGACATAATATATAAATCTACTGGAGTAGGTGAACCTGAATTAGAAAGTGTGATTGAACCTAAAAGGGTAGGCCGGAGTTGAAACAGAACCAAAGCCATTAGATTCAGTGGAAGCAACCAAATTCGGAAAGAAAATATACATTGGACAGCATCTTACTCGATTGAAACGGAAGTAAATAGCAGACGTTTTTAGAACAAGTCATAAATACATATATACAGGGTGTCCCATATAAAATTCGATAAGACAAATATCTGGAAAATGAAAGAGTATATCAATATTTCGTTGATGCAGTTGATTTTGATGTTAAAGGGTTATCTTATTCACGTAGATATCCAGCACTAGGCATCATCCGTTAGGGCGTCGCGACACCGACGCCAATTTTTTTAAATTGTAACCCAGATTTTTCAATTTGTTTTTGGATTTTGCAACAAATTCTGAATCTAACCATACAGCAAGCTTGTAGTTTCCCTTGAATACTGATGAAAAAAAAAGTCAATTTTATTGCAAAATAAATGCAATAACGTATTTATCGATCTGTCAGAAAACCTGTCAGGTTTGACGAAAGTGTATGCAGAATCCAAAAACGAATTGAAAAATCTGAGTTACCATTTTTTTAAATTGGCGTCGATGTCGCGACGTAATGCGTGCAGCTGTGTGATACCTATATTTCCCTCATCGAGTTTCTATTCCTCTATTCTCTGTTCACTTTTTCTCTATCTATTAGTCTCTCACTCCGTCCCCACTCTGAATTCTGTTGCCATGACGCCATCACAGAGACTCGTTCGTGATGAAGATGATGATTAATTAATCAATTAATTGATGGATGTAGCCGTTACTACGTGGTAGCAAATCATAATAAAGAAAAGAGAAATCAAACTTTCTATGTTTTTTACCACTTTTATTTGTAACTAACGTTACTCTGCAGTTTCGTCCTACAAGGACATTTTCAAACTTATACAATATACAAGTTTGAAAATGTCCTTATAGGACGAAACTGCAGTAACGTTAGTTACAAATGAAAGTAGTAAAAAACATCGAAAGTTTCATTTCTCTTTTCTTCATTAATTAATCAATTGATTATAAATAATTAAAATTTTTTGAGCATTTTTTTTTATTTTCTCATAAATACAAGAATTCTACTTAAAAAACATACACTTATTTATTTGCATGCTATTTCATGAGCTTTTCAATTAATTAAGTTCAATGAATTAAAAAAAATATATTGTTTTTGTCAGATTAAGCGAATCCCTCTAGATAATCGTCAGATTATGAGACAGCACGTCTAAAACATAAAGATGAACCATATATATCTCAATCGACGCGCTCGAGTATTTCAAAATGGCGAATTTTTTTGCACATTATAATAATGGCCGCGAGTTTGCGTCAGATCGAAATCGTCAGATTATTGAATGAGAGCTTTTTTTTTTGTTGCACTTAACACCACCTTAGAAAATCTGACGCGCTCGATTAAATTTTTTTTCTTTTCACTTTTAACCCTTACATACAACCACCCACATCATGCAAACGATCAGAATAACATACCAACATTATTAAAAATACGTAGGACATATGATGCTATCAATATCTGACGCGCTCGCGTATGTCCATGCAACAGTATTTTTTTACATATTTAAAAAGATATAGCCGCTTCCCCCACAGATGAAAAGGTATATATTATATAACATTTTTTTCTTCTCATCATGTAAGCTTTGCAACCTAATATGTCTCAATGACGCTCCAGTAAATCCCCATTTTGCATCGTGGGCTCCCCTGCTATAGTATGCATTCTACCTACCTGTATTTAACGATCTACCTGTTCATTGTAACTACATATTCACCGTATTAAAATTAAATTATGACGGTTACAAAATGGCAGTTTGGTGGATATTTGAACTTTATTACTTGATTCGCGAATTTCTAAGGTAAATGAGGCTCCCAAACTCCAGATCTGAGATGTTATCGGAGTTTCCTTCTTTAGGTTCTACAAGAGCAATGCAATCGTGTTTCAGCCTACTAAACTGGCGAGTTGAAACTTAGATCACAAAGGCTTTCATTTTGGGCTCTGTTGAGAGCTGCAGAGAAAGACAGAGTACGAATTCCATTTGGCTGTCGATGTCAAATCGAACTGCCTTGAAAAACCTTGTTTATCTTTCATTTTTGTGCACTAAGTTTTCTGTTGATATCATAAATGGTGTCTTTTGTAAGAGGAGATGTCATCACCAGTTCCTACTTAGGCTTGTCCTTTAAGAACGGTCAAGTCTAACATTCCATTGTGGTTCTGCATAGTACCACTAATGAGACCTATGGTGGGTCTTCTATTAGATCAAGAATGCTTTGTTTTGGGCTCTGGTTTCAAATATTCAGTGTAGTTGTAGACTAATCTAGTCTTACCTGCTATGAGTAAACACACATTAGTGACAAGTAATACACGTTCAGGTATTATTGAATGGTTATCCATGAAGATATCCAGTAGATAAACAGCTAGATGCAAACAACAGTGTGTCAAATTTCTCTCTATACAAATCCTTTTGAGGTATTCCACAAGATGTCCCCGATAGGTGAACTGAAAAAAGTGTTGTTGAGATAGGATTTCAAGATAGAATATTCTGTATAAGATTTAAAATTAATTATGCATTAAATATTGTTGATACATTATATTTACAAATTAGAATACTATATTTGTGACTGCGCCATGATTAGATATTTTGACAAGACAATTCAGAGTGGCATTGGTTTTTATGGATTCTGAAAAATGTGAAAATCATGCAAGAGTTCAACTAGTGCTTTGTATATTATTTTTTCATATTTTTGCATTTCCTTCTATCAGTCAGTTTCTGGTTTGTCAATTGGAAGAGCTTCTAGGTATAGATATATGAAAAGCTAAAATCTGTAAAAGATACACTTTTCTAAATTTAATTCAAATAAATACACGTATGTACCAAAAAAGTAGTGATAAACCATCAAAAATAACTACTTCATTACCTGTTTGTCAAGACAAATGTCAGTAAATATTCAATTAGTTCCAAAATCAAATCTTTGGCACTTTCCATAGAAATTGAGTTGAAGAAAAAATGCATTTCTTTTAGAAATGACTTTATTTTAATATGGAGATTGTCTTCATATGATTCTATACAAAATAACTGAAAACTTATTCACCTTACATTCAACAATGAGTGTTGAGTTGGGTAGAAATATCTTTTTATATCTTTTTCTTCGTAAATTCATGTTCATATCTTGTATGTGATACTTTCATTTTGTCAATTCTCTTGTAATGATTTTTGGTTTGAAAAAAAATATAAGTTTTCAATGATTCTAAACATCTACTATAAGAATATGAATTGAATGGATTTCGTTGATTAACTAATGTCCATCTTTATCATCATCAGATTAGCAATAACTGATGTTCTACTAACAAACTAGAAAGCTAGTTATGATTTTCACTTCAAAAGACTTTCATTGTAATTTTCCATACTAGTCATTCGATTTTGATTTCAATAGTCCACTGGGAAAAATATTTTTTACGGAAAAGTGAATGAAAAAAACGTTGGGTTAATAAAATTATTCAAATTACTTAGTTAATTTGAAGTTACTTTCCATGGATATGTTTCATTGAATTTATCAACTATCATTCAGACATGTTAAATTGGAGCTAAAAACCCCAAAATGAAAATTGCGTCAATCAAATCTCGATAGTGATTACCCTTTGTTGTAGATTTTTTTCGGTGAATCGAGATGATTCAGCATTTTCTTTGCTGCATCTTTCCACTTTTGTTAGCAAAATATTCATCTTTCTGGATCGAAATACTCCTATAATGAGAAATTTCGGAGTTATCGATATACATTTTTTTTAATTAATGACTCCAGTATACACATCCAAAGTCGCGTCAGTTTGTTAATCTCCACTTATTGAATGAAAATAAACTATTAAGGACTATTAGACGCTAGAGACAGTGACTAACCTGCAGCCGGCTGGTTTTTTATCGTAGAGAACAACCTCTAATAAAAGGCCTAGTAATTTTTTTATGAAAATTGAAAACAAAAGTTATCATAAAACTATAGAATTATTCCAGTCAGTAAATTAGACACTCTCCAAATATTTTACTGGCCGTTATGCCCTTACCCTGTTTTAACAAGGCAGCTGCGTTAGTCAGATTTGAAATGCCTTTTTGATTATAATGGTAATCATTTTGAAGGTCGAGGAAAAAACAACTGTACAGATTGGGCCAAGAAAAACTCCTGTTTTCAAACTAGATAAATAAAAACTGATGGCTGTTTCTGAGGGTCAAATTTTATGACAAACTCAATGGTGAAAACCGCATATCGATATCAATCGTCGTTTCTGAGTTACAGCATGTTTTTAAAAAATGTGCATTTTCAAAAGGTTGCTGTAACTTTTTTCCTGTAAAAAATTTTTGGTTTCTATGAAAACATTTCCAAAGCACTTTTTTACATATAATTCAATGGTGTAAAAACTTATTTTTTCAAATGAGATATCAATAGTTATTGATGGAAAACTAATTTGTTATTGATACACCCTGTATATTGCTGCATATTTCAATAGATCTGAAAATTAACTTTCCAAAAATATAGCACACTTGATGTTTTGCTAGAGTCATTTTTAAAATACAAAGTTTGTAGGTTTTTTCATGTAGACTTTGAAACGTACACATTTTCGGTGATGAGGCATATTTTGGCATGAAAGTTTGGACAAATCTGATTAGAAAACTAGCTAAACAACGTAACCATAACAAGTTTTTATTACAGTGTAAGCAAAAAAATATTTTACTAACGCATATTTCTTTTTTTTACACCATTGAATTCTACGTAAAAAATAGTTTTGGAAATGTTTTAATGGAAACAAGAAATTTTTGACAGAAAACATGCTGTAACGATGATAGATATCGATATGCGGTCCTCACCATTGAGTTTGTGATAAAATCTGACGTTCAGACACGGCCATCAGTTTTCATCTATCTAGATTGAAAACAGGAGTTTCCTTTTGAAAGTGACCAATTTGGCTCACTCTGTACAATTGAAAATAGGGAATTCGGAGGTATCTAAAGAAAAAATAAATGTTAAACTGTTTACCCGAAGAAGCTACTGTGTTGTGAAACTCGTTTTGAGTAAAGTTAAGTTCATAGAGTGGTTTTGGAGATATAATGACGTCATGTCCCAGGACGTTTTGTGTTTTTGAATTTCAACAAATACTTGCTGAATGTGAATGGAAGTGTCAATTTACAATGATAAAAAAAGTAGTTGAAAAAATCCCTGAATAGAGCATCTGAAATTGTTATTATTTTTAATTTTGACGAACACATACATACAATATTTGCCTTTGAGCCTATGAGATTTTCAGTTAGAAAATTCATTGTCATGACAGTGGTTCTAATTGTGAAAGAAGTCAATTACCTGCCTTTTAATTCAGAAGAATAAATGAACAACAACTAAATTATATTTGTCTTGCATATTTTAACTCAAACCTATTGAAGAAACATTCACAGCTGTGGTGATATTGAAAGAATACATTATTATGAAATGTAATTCATATAATATATTGAAAGCTCAATTTGTAGAAAATTCCTTAATGAACAAACAAGTTTATGTATCATTTTATAAGGTTCGGAAATGGTTGATTTCTTATATTATGTATCAATATTATGAAATAAATAATGATTTTTCTGATTATTGAGACGGTAATTTCTACAAAAAATAGTTTGAGAACATTTTGTAGAGAATTTTATGATAGACAAAAAAGTTAATTACTTAATTCGATATATCTATGACAGTTCCAGAGATATTCCACAAAATCTATGTATCTTTCAACATTTTACCCATTTGTTTAAACGCATCGAGTTTATCAACTATAACAAATTGAAATACATTTTTCTAAGGTTATTTTTCACTATTTGGAAAGAAATATTGAAGAATATGGGTATAATTCGTTTTGATTTTTCTGAAATGGACCTGTAAAAAAAGCTAATCTCAACTGACAGGCGTACACATTTTTTTTAATTTATGTAAACTAAATTGAAATATTTATAATATATAAATTACCTGAGGGGATTGATGAAAAAATGGTATTCGGTTCTTTTCCCGTTCTCTAATAACTTCCTTGAAGTTTTCTTTGTATTCTTTTATGTCATCCCAAGCTTCTCTCTGTAACTGTTGAATATTATAAGTAATAATGTCACCGAATATGATTATGAATGAATTGTATTAAAAAAATCATACAATCGAATTTATGTAGTACAAAACACAAAAGAATATATAAGTTTCGCTCCTCAACTACTTGATCAGACAATATCGTAAATAACTTAGCTCGAAAGTTTTGATGTATATGTTTAGATATATTTGCTGCTGTCAATATATGTTTCCCTGTAAAACATTCAACATGTTGATATTTATGTTTTAATACTTGCTACTGCAAATTGAAATATGTTGCAGAACACGTTAGAATTATTTTAATCGTAATCATATCTGAAAAATTGCCCAAAGTTTCAAACCCTTCACATAAGTTATTGCAAATCTTATAAACACTTGTAGGTTCGAGAAAAAAAAAGTCTAGCTGAAGATTACTCAAAAACCATTGACTTTTAATTCTTTTTACCTACTAGATGCGTAACAATTCCCAATTTCGTAACAACTCGGAAATGATAGAATTTTATTTTTCACACAAAAACCGTAGGAGTATATTTCAAAATAAATTCGTAAAAAGCACATATTATTGGACTCGTGAACAAGTATACATATCCGAATTCATAATTGAAAAATTGAACACTGTAAATGTTTGTTCCATATGAAATGAAACGATATTTATAACTTTTGGGTGCCCGGTTATATTATTTTTGTGAAAGAAACCGTATTTAATTGACTGTCTGTAGTGATGTACAAGTCAAAACAGCCTTCAATTAATCAAATACAAAAAAATTTTATTAAATAACCCGAAAGTAACCCTCTGACAACCAAATAAATCTACTTACGTAAAATACAGAATTCTTTGTCATGAAATTCCTCATTTTGTATTAAGTTACAACACCATACACTAACATATTTTAAAAATAACAGTCAAATAAAACTCCTTTTCCAGTTGGATGTTTTCAATTTGAAGCAAGTTTTATTCATATTCAGTTCTACAAAAACAGACAAAAAGATATTTTTTGTAGTAATAAAAAAGATGCATAGTATTTTACCGGATGAACCGTGAAATATAAAAACAATTCACCACTTCGCTCTTAGGCTAGCCACACACTGGCAACTTTATTCGAGCAAATTTTCAAGCACATAGGTGATTATTTGGTTGCGGCAACCGAAAACTTCAAAACGTTATATTTTCTTCATTGCATAGCTTACCTCTACGCATCGTCCCTCGTCGTCTTACAGTAGGCGCAACGTGAAATGGCTTACTGCGTTGCATCAAGTTAATCTTATGTTAACTTTTGAACGATTCTTCCAAATTACTTAGTGTAAAATATAAAGTTTATCTTTATAAAAATACTTAAAACGGCAATTATATCAATTTTTATAAAAATCTGACAGATATTCTAAAATGTGCATTGTAAAAAAAGTATCCAATTTATTTATTTATAGCTCAGTATTTTGCATATAGTGGCTACCACATAAGAGGTAGATATTAAGCTATCACTTTCTTTCATTGAGAACTATTTAAAATAAACCATCTTACAGTGCATTATCTTCATGTAACTTCAACAGTATAGGCAGCGCACGCCTTTGTAAATTTAATACGTCATGTTTCACTCACTGATAATGGTAAGGCTTTTGTTTGAAATACATTTTTTTCTTATTGTTAGTTGCAATAAAACTTCCTTAAGTTTTCGGGAAGGGGGCATACAAAAAACATGTTTGTTTATACAGTGTGGTCCACTAAGTCTGCAATAAATGGGAAACTTTTTTATTATCGATTTTTCAGAAAATTTCATTCTTGACAAAAGTTGATGCATATTCCAAAACTATACCAAGTGTACCTGAAATGGCTTTATGACAAACACCATACAGGACAGGCCAAAAAATATAAAGTTCGTTCAAGAGTAAAGTACCCTTATTTCAAAAAATATCGAAATATAATGAAGAGAAAAGTTGCTTAGAATTAAGTTATGTTCAGATACGAAGTCATGGCCTGCTATTCGATTTTTTTTTCTTTTGGAAAATTTTGAATTACCCCCGTATGATACATATTTTTACTATTTTGATTTAATATGCAACGATATTTAACAGAACTCTACAATAAAACAAATACTCTTTTTAACGAGGTAAATACTTTACTAACTAAATGTTCATAGGAATAAACTGTCGTTAAAAGTATAAAATTGCTTTCATTCTGACAACAATGCCTCAACTAGAACAGATATTAAAAAACAATCCAAAATCTATCGCGGATAGCCATGAACAAAAAACACATACGCCCTAAAACAATACTGTAGTTTGATAGTGTGGCTTCTTAAAACTTGCCTGTAAAACGTTTTCATATTTGTCCTTAATTNAATAAAATTTTCTAGGAAATCAATAATAGGAAAGTTTCCCATTTGTTGCACACTTAGTGGACCACACTGTATATTATACTATAAATTCACAATTCACAAATGCAATCTTCTCAACAGAACAAACCTCCAGAAAATCAAGAATGCAACACTTTGTTAAAAAATGTATTCAAGACAAAAGACAGTAAGGCAGAAAAAGTACTCTAATGAACTAATAGTAGTTAGTTTCAATGTTGCAAGGGGATTTTGATGTCATCATACTACCTTTTAGTTTATAAGTCACAGGGACTTTCTAACTATCCAGAGTGGTTTTTTAAAATTACACTTAGAAAAGAGCAGTTGGTGCTTGTAGGAAATACCAAATTGGATTGGAAATTTTTGCTATGATTCAACTAGAGACAATGTCAGAATGAGCCCATACAAAACCGTGAATACATTGAGATAATTAGATAGGATCGCAGAAGTCTTGAGTTATCTATTCCATGGTAAGGGTAGAGTATATGCTTACTTATACTCAGGTTCGTCCTTTGTGCCTGACAATGCAATCGTGGGTTAGTCTAGCACCATTGAAAAGATCGCGGGTCAAAATAGCACTGTCGGGTGTTAGGATTATGGATGCTCAAAAGGCGATTTCAATTTCGATGGTTGATTCGAAGTTTGTTTATCTTGTGTTTTCTCTTGATCTTATGGTGTCTTGGTCCACGCTTACTAATACATAAATTAAGTAATGATCCATAAAATACCATATGATAAAAAAATAATGATGTTATAGGAAGGTAGGCTTTCACGGCTGGCGGTTGGTTTTCGGGTTTTGCCGTGGTCTCCTTTGGTTATAATCTCCAAACTGCAACTGCGGCAATCATCTTCAGTGGCGTGGTCGAAGTACCCTACTTGACATATCAACTGAAACTGAAGCTCTCATTTCTGCCGTGTCATTTATATTTTTGCGCACTTGCTCTGTGCCAGATCGGTAGATATGTTCTCTCTTCCTTTCTGTTGAAGTTCTCTTGGTGTTTGTATATTTNGTGATAATTGAAAATACTTCTGAATACTTCTTACTCACATATATAAATAATCGATCGCTTCAAAAACACTTTTATAACTTTCTTCGAAAGCTTCTGATAATTCATCTTCCATATTGTCTGTTTTTCTACACTGTCTTCATTTAAATCAATAATGAATTTATATCCACCATTAATATGGTGGATATAAATTAGTGTCCAATCTCCATATAGTCTTTTTTAACTAAAATTACTTTTTTCAATCCTTTTCTGCCAGTCTTCTTCGGTAATATTGAATAATTCTTCTTTAATTAGCTCTATTACCTTCTTATGAAATTTTGTAAAATTATTTTTACACCTGATGATTTCCCCAAATCAACTCGATGGGATTGAAAACACAAAAATAGGGGGGAAGTCTCAGTATAGTGTGTCCGTAGTTTTCAGTAATACTCTCAAGGGCATATACTTTTTCAAATGTTTTTCTCTGTAAAACTTCAAGTAGTTGGTTTTTAGTATAATAATCTTCAAAGTACAAATTGATATCCATTAAAAAACTTTGTATTTCATCATTCCTCGAACTTTTATTCGGTACTTTGATGAGCTGTTGCGAATGAGGAAACGTTATTAGGAACTATTACACTATTCGCATCCACATCAGGAATCAATGTATTTTCAAACTATTCCTCGAAAATATTAGTTTAATGTTCTTATGATAGTCAACATTGCAGTACTCAAGTTTTTTTTTACATAATTTCAAAGAATTAGGAATCCATCCTTTACAGTGCACAGTGATTAGTCGCGATCCTTTGTTTGCAGGCTAGTTAGGCGTACACATTCTCGAACCATCAGTCCACCCTTTCGTAACTATGTCGTGAGTGTCATACCAAGTTTCGTCCAAATAGAAAATTTGCCGTTGTTCTTGTCTATATTTAGTTACTTGTTCTAAGTATTTGTAACACAAGTCCTCTATTCTTCTGCTCTCCATAACTGCGTGACGTTTGTTTATGGTTATGAATATAAATCCTAGTTTCTTTATCCAATTCTGAAGAGTTTTGTCACAGCAGCTCACGTTATGGCCGGAAATATTCAATTTCTTCCTTATGACAGTCGTATACTGTTTTTTCAATGATTTTATTAGACGAACATCTAAAGGTTTTGACAATCCCGTATCACATCGCGCCTTGCGTTCATAAGGTTTGTTTTTGACTATTTTACATACAGTTGGGAAAGGAATTTCGGTCAAATCTTATGTTGCTTGTAATAGTTTGTTTCCCTCGAAACCAAACGTTGGGAAAGGAATTTCGGTCAAATCTGATGTTGCTTGTAATAGTTTGTTTCCCTCGAAACCAAACTTGAAATGTTGATTCTTATATACGTTGAAACATACTCTTTGTGTTTCAATATTCAAATGCATCCGAATCTTATTCACTGATATGTCTTTTTCACATTGTTCACCATCGCTATTGGAATCACTACACAGGAAAAAGTTTGCGTTGTTATCACACTCGTTATTACTATTAGTAGTTGTCCAAGGACGCCACATTTGAACAAATACAAAAAGTATAGTAATTATAACTGTACCAATGTCGAATTTCAACACTCAAATAGCGATCAGTTACTGAACTGAACATTGACAACACGACGGCTCGCATTCTATTTAATTTAATTTTATGACTCTTCAGCCAATCATAAAACTCAGTTAGTAAAAATTATCCAATACTAACCGCCATTTCTTCAGTCCACGTGGACTATATCGCATTTGTAATAGTTTGTTTCCCTCGAAACCAAACTTGAAATGTTGATTCTTATATACGTTGAAACATACTCTTTGTGTTTCAATATTCAAATGCATCCAAATCTTATTCAGTGATATTTCTTTTTCACATTGTTCACCATCGCTATTGGAATCACTACACAGGAAAAAGTCTGCGTTGTTATCACACTCGTTATTACTATTAGTAGTTGTCCAAGGACGCCACATTTGAACAGGTACAAAAAGTTTAGTAATTATAACTGCACCAATGTCGAATTTCAACACTCAAATAGCGATCAGTTACTGAACTGAACATTGAAACACGACGGCTCGCATTCTATTTAATTTAATTTTATGACTCTTCAGCCAATCATAAAACTCAGTTAGTAAAAATTATCCAATACTAACCGCCACTTCTTCAGTCCACGCGGACTAGTTGGCAGCGGATTTATTTCTTTGTATTGATTTTTTTGGCCTTTGGGGGCGCCGACACTTCAAGTATGCACAATACCGGTTACTTCGACTATACCAATGCTTCTTTTCGTCTGACCGATATAGACTTTACCGCAGTTACATGGAATCCTACAAACTTCCGCTGATTTGAGTGTATCTCTGCTGTCTTTGCTGATTTCAGATACTTCAATATTTTCTTCGTTGGTTTTTAGATGGTGTTAACTTTCTCCTTATTTAGAATTTTCCCGATTCAGTTGGTGACACTTTCTATGTATGACAGATAGACACTGCCTTGGGATTGATTTCCACTGGTGTTTCTCCTCTTCTTCCTTGGACGCGTAGAACGGATTGTGTCCTTTCTTTTGTAGCCGTTTGTTTGTAACACAGTTGTTAGGTGTATTATTTTGTTGTCTACGTACCTTTCTTCATATATTCTTAAACCTCTGTTATCAAATGAACATAATGAATTTCGTCGTCATACACAATCAAATCTTTATATTCTCTACTTTAGTGATTTATTATGGTATTTCAGGGTTTACTACGCAGCTAAAAAAAGCTCCGAACCAGGTTGGATTCAAGATCAGTTGCCAGCTTTGAGGGCTTACTCTAAACAGTTACTTCGATTAGTGGTAATAATTAAGAAGAAAGCTACTAATCGCGTTCATATTCTTCTGAGTGAGAGAACATCGTGGCATTTGCCAGTTTGTGAAATCCATCCAACAAAAAGTTTGCATTCGACCCTGAGAAGGTTTATGGTGGAACTTTTCGGAGCAGAGGTTCCTGCTCATAGGCCCTATGGATTACTGTCGGTGAGAATAATGCCAATTGTTAAATTAAAAATGACAAAACACAGTAATAAGTTGGACAAGTGACATCTGATTTCATTATTCCATTTTCCAACTCTGTAGATTTTTTTTGAACATTATATTTTATCAAAAACTTTAATCATTATTATTATTTCAGGTTGAGTATGATCCTTCGACTGACAAAGATGGCCTTTGTCTCACTTTGTTAGTAGCTTTTAGGTCGCCCCTTGAAGAGGTTCCCATTATTGGAAAATGTGTCTGGCATGAAACCACGAAGGATTTAGGTGATCATCTACTTCAGAGGGTGGCATCTAGAAATGCTTCTTTCCCTTTGCATGTCATACGATAAAAATTGTTGCTTGTTGAATTTTCTATACATTTTTCACAATAAGTATCCAAGTTGGATCTGTGGTTAGGAAGCCTCATAAATACTATGTTTGTTATTATTTATTATTTTGAAGTGGAACAGTGATAGTAATAATAAAACTAAATCCACAGTATTATCAAGAAATTTTGTTGGTAACTATTAATAAAATGTGTTTTGGGATATACTAACTTACTTACCCTGGTCAAGGTTTGCATTCCATGTCATTTTATATGTTTGTTGGTTTTATATTACTTGTTAACTGAATTTATTTATTAAAATGAATTATATTTTTATTATTATTTTTCAATTTTTTTTAAATCCTCATTTGAAATGATTAAAAAACAGGCTGTGATATTTGATTTTTGGCAGGTGAAAATCTAGAAGCATGGATGCTGAAATGTCACCTTGACCACAAATTTTCCATCCTGCCACAAATAGGTCCTTCGAAGCAATTGAAACAGTATTAAGTATATTTCAATATTCAAAAACAAATTTTGGTTTTAATATTTCTTTTACAAATGCGAATACTGATGTCTATAACTGAAATCAAATAAGTCTGATGACTGCGTCGAATAGAAATACATTTGTACTATGAACATAAACCTTTTGAATTGAAATTAGAAAAATTCACCTTCAGCGTTCCTAGACAGTGGAATCTGGTAAATGATGATAATAATAATAATAATAATATTTATTTATCCTTTGAGACGTTAACAACGTATAGGACATGTCAGTACAACACGTTAAAATAGTATAAAGAAAATAAACATACATAAAGATAAAATATCTCAGTAGTTTTAAAGTATAAAAATGTATAAAATATAAAGAAAAAAAA